CCTTCTTCCCTTCCTTCCTTCTTCCTTTCCTTCCGCTCCTTCCTATTTCTCTCTCTCCTCCTCGTCTTCTTCTTTCTTCTCTTTTCTCTTCATTTCTCTCTTTCTCTTCCTTCTTTCTTTCTTACAAGATCTCGCACCTCTGAGCTCAGGCCGGAGTGCACGGGCATGATCCCAGCTCACTGCAGCCATCTCCTGGGCTCAAGTGATCTTCCAACCTCAGCTTCCTGAAGAGCTAGGACTACCAATTCTATACACCAATAACATTCAATCTGAGAACCAAATCAGGAATGCAATCCCATTTACAATAGCCCAAAAAAATGAAATAGGGAATATACCTAACCAAGAATATACCTGGGAATATACCTAACTGCTGAAAGAAATCATAGATGACACAAGCAAATGGAAAAGCATTCCATGTTCATGGGTTGGAAGAACAAACATTGTTAAAATGTCCATAATGTTGAAAGCTATCTACAGATTCAATGCTATTTCTGTTACACTTCCAACGTCATTATTTACAGAACTAGAAAAAACTATGCTAAAATCCATATGGAACCAAAAAAGAGCCTGAACAGCCAAATCAATCCTAAGCAAAAGAACAAAGCTGGAGGCATCATATTACCTGACTTCAAACTATACTACACGGTTACAGTTACCAAAACAGCCTGATACTGCTACAAAAATAGACACATAAACAAATGGAACAGAACAGAGGCCCCTGAAATAAAGCCACAGGCCTACAACCAACTCACCTTCAAAAAAGTTCACAAAAATAAACAATAGGGAAAGAACATCTTATTCAATGAATGGTGCTGGAAAAAGTGACTGACTATATATGCAGAAGAATGAAACTGGACCCCTACTTCTCACCATATACAAAAATTGACGCAAGCTGGACTACAGATTAAATTTAAAACCTCGAACTATAAAAATTCTAAGTTCTTAAAACCCCAAACTATAAAAATAAAAATTCTAGAAGAAAACCTAGGAAACGCTCTTACAGACATTGGTCTAGGCAAATAATTTATGATGAAGACCCCAAAAGCAAGTACAACAAAATCAAAAATAGATAAATAGGACTTAATTAAACTAAAGCACTTCTGCACAGCAAAAGAAACTCTCAACAGAGCAAACAGAAAACCTTCAGAATAGGAAAATTTTTTTGTAAACTAGGCATCCAACAAAGGACCAATATCCAGAATCTATAAGGTACTTCATGGAATCAACAACAACAAAAAAACCAAACAACTCTATTAAAAAGTGAGGAAAGGACGCGAACAGACAGTTCTCAAAAAAAGACCTATAAGCAGCCAACAAGCATATGAAAACCTGCTCAACATCACTAATCATCAGACATGCAAATCAAAACCACAATGAGGTATTATCTCACACCAGTCAGCATGACTATTATTAAAAGGTCAAAAAATGACATGTGCTGGTCATAAAAAAGAATGATATCATCTCCTTTGCAGGAACATGCATGAAGCCAGAGGCCATTATCCTTAGCCAACTAACACAGGAACAGAAAACCAATAATTGGGAGCTAAATGATGAGAACATATGGACATACAGAGGGGAACAACACACAATGAGGCTTTTCAGAGGGTAGAGGGTGGTAGGAGGGAAAATAACTAATGGGTACTAGGCTTAACACCTGGGTGATGAAATAATCTGTACAACAAACCCCCGGGACACAAGTTTACCTATATAACAAACTTGTACATGTACCTTTGAACTTAAAATAAACATTATTTCTTAAAAAGCGTGGGCAGAGATTGCCCTGGAACCTGAAGCTATTCTTATTGCCATAACTAAAATATTTATAAAAATTAGGGAAGGTTCATTATCATTATTCTTTATTTTTGATATGTACCTCTTTTGAGTAATCTCAAATGATTGCATGTAAGATCATTTATTCATTTATTAAATAAATATTCCTTGCCCTGTAAAAGCAGAATAAATATGACCTGTCTTAAAAAAATAATAATAATAACAGGTGCTGGTGAAGTTATCGAGAAAAGGGAATGTTTATACACTCTTGGTGGGAATGCAAATTAGTTTAGCCTCTACAGAAAGCAGTTTGGAGATTTCTCAAAGAACTAAAAACAGAACTACCAGTTGACTCAACAATGCTGTTACTAGATATATACCCCAAGGAAAATAAATTGTTCCACCAAAAAGATGCATGCACTTGTATGTTAATCACAGCACTGTTTATAATAGCAAACACATGAATCAACCTAGGTGCCCATCAAGAGTGGATTAGACAAAGAAAATATAGTACATGTACACCATGGGATACTATGCAGCCTTAAAAAAAGAATACATTCATGTCCTTTGCAGCAACATGGATGCAGCTGGCAGCCATTATGCTAAGAGAACTGATGCAGAAACAGAAAACCAAATATCGCATGTTCTCACTTATAAGTGGATGCTAAATATTGGGTTCACAGGGACATAAAGACAGGACATAAAGACAATAGACACTGGGAACTCCAAAAGACGGGAGGGAGGGAGGGTAACAAGGGCTAAAAAGCTTCCTGGTGAGTATATATTCACCTTCTGATATATGTTCACTACAGAAGGACAAACCTCGGCACTACACAACATACCTTTGTAACAAACCTGCATGTATATGACATGGTGAAACCACATCTCTACTAAAAACATAAAAACTAGCCAGGCGTGGTGGTGGGTGCCTGTAATCCCAGCTACTCAGGAGGCTGAGGCAGGCGAATTGCTTGAACCCAGGAGATGGAGGTTGCAGTGAGCCGACAGGGTGCCACCGCACTCTAGCCTTAGCAATAGAGTGAGACTCCAACTCAAAAAAAAAGTGAAAATTTTTAAAATAAAAATTTTTAAAAGAGATGAGTGTGTGTGTGTATGTATTTTATATATATATACACACACACACACACACATATGTATATAAAATATTAATTCTCAATGTTGTCCCCAGACTAACAGCCTCAGCATCAGCTGGGAACTTGTTAGAAATGCAAATTCTCAGTCCCTACCCCATACCTACTAAATCAGAAACTCTGAGAGTGGAGCCCAGCACTAACCCTCCAGGTGATTCTGGTGCACGTTAATGTTTGGAAACTATTGATTTATCAAAACACTTCTTCCTTTAGCATACGTAGAGAGAAGCAGGGTAAGAGGGAAAGGAGGGACAGGTGTTTGGAGTCAGGAGGGAGTGGTGTAAGTTGCACTAGAACACACTGGTTGGAAGAAAAGGAAAGAAAGCAGCTCACTTTAGACCATACATAAGGGAGGATGATCCTACTCAAAGGCAAAGAACTAACTTGTGTCACTCTTTCATTCTGAAGGTACAATGGCAACTTCCAAAAGCAACCAACTCAAAGACAATCTGTAGTCTTCTGTTTTGGATATAGGATGACTTGATGCTCTTCCAAAACTCAAACTGTGACATAATTGAAAAATATGGTTATTATGCACCTGTTTGTTCATCACTGTGAATTTAAGGACATTTACAGAGGACACATCCAAGCATATGGTCTGCCTCTTCCTCATTGTAAGTTGTTGGCAACATAGCTGCCCACAGCTTGGTATGCTGTGTTAGCACTAGCAAGAGAATTTAAGGAATGCCATTCTGTGCCAGCTAGTCCATCTGAGATTCCTGGCTAAGATAGACCCCCAAGGGAAACTTTGTGAAGAAGGCAGAATTCTTCTTTAAAACTTAAAATTGTAAGTTAGTGATGTACTCAAACACCCCCAAAACCTCCCTAATCTGAGTCTATTGTGAATAAATGGCCTAAATCTTCAGCCAATTTATACTTTGTCTTTACTTCTTCTTAAGGTAGCGATTTCTCTTGGTTGACTTTCTACGCAAAATAGGACAATTTCTCTTCCTATTAACTTCAATTATTTTGGTTTTGACCTTCAAAGAAGGGTCCCAGTTCTAATACACAAGATTTGATAAACACATGGATGCAGCTGGAAACCATCATTCTCAGCAAACTATTGCAAGAACAGAAAACCAAACGCCGCATGTTCTCACTCATAGGTGGGAACTAAACAATGAGATCACTTGGACTCGGGAAGGGGAACATCACACACTGGGGCCTATTACGGGGCGGGGGAGGGATTGCATTGGGAGTTATACCTGATGTAAATGACGAGTTGATGGGTGCAGCACACCAACATGGCACAAGTATACATATGTAACAAACCTGCACGTTATGCACATGTACCCTAGAACTTAAAGTATAATAATTAAAAAAAAAAAAAAGATTTGATAAACAAGACCTGTTCGAACTATCCTTACTTGCTTTTATAAATTTTGGTCATGTCTCCATGGCCTTTCACTTTATAGACTAGAAAATGTTTTAGTTTTCTCCTGAAAAGAAGCCATTTAGGCCAGGTGTGGTGGCTCTGGCTGGGCTTGGTGGCTCATGCCTGTAATCCCAGCACTTTGGGAGGCCAAGGCAGATCACTTGAGGCCAGGAGATCGAGACCAGCCTGACCAACATGGTGAAACCCCATCTCTACTAAAAATACAAAAATACAAAAATTAACTGGGTGTGGTGGCACATGCCTATAATCCCAGCTACTCAGAGGCTGAGACATGAGAACTGCTTCAACCTGGGAGGCGGAAGTTAAAGTGAGCTGAGATTGTGCTACTGCACTCTAGCCTGGGTGACACAGTGAGACTTTGTCTCAAAAGAAAAAAATAATTCATCTGAAGAAAAGATTAGACTTGAATCCTGATTACCTGGACTTGAATTTCAGCCTTCTCACTTACTAGCTAAATGAATTTGAGGAAATTAATCTCTGAATCAGTATCTTCATCTATAAGTGGCAATACCAACAAGTACTTCACTTGACAATTATGAAGGTGAAATAAGATAATACATATATTAGTCGGGGCACAGATTAAGCTGCTATAACAAAGAATACCTAAAATACAGGGGTTTAAATAAGATAGAAATATATTTCTTATGTAATATTCCAGAGATAATGGACAATTCAGGACTTACAGCTTCGTCTACATTCTCAATCTGTAGCTTTCATTTGTGGATAGGTTGCCTTCCAACCAGCAGCCTAGAGGAAAGAGACAGTGGTGGTAAAGAGCTTCCTTTTAAAGACATAATCCAGAAACCACAGACATCCTGCTGCTTATGAACCATTGGCCAGAATGTGGTCATGTGGCCATATCTAGCAACAAGAGAAATTTAGTCTTTATCTGGATGGCCATATGCTCATTTAAAATTATGGAAGATGTGGTCTATTATTAAAAGGAAGAAGGAGAGAATGCACATTGGGGGGTCATGAGCAATTTATGTCAGCTACTTTCTCACCATTACATACATTTCTATTACAGGTTTAAAAAAACTTGACATTTTATTTCTGATCCCCTTCTTATAGACAAAAAAGTCCATATAGCCAGCACCTTCAAGAAGCAGAAGATGAGTTTCTGAAGACAGAAGACCATGTCTTATTCATCTGAACATCTCCAGAAACTAACATAGAATCATTCTTAAAAAAATATTTGTCAAAGTGAACAATTACAGTCAATCCTAGAGCCCTTAACTGGGTTAAACCCCTTTAGTGACATGTGGATTATAGACTTTCCAAATTTTGAGGAACTGCACTATACCATGTAAATGGCACCACTGGCCATGCCTACCATATAATCCAACAGGTTGCACAGTGAAGCTCTTTAGTATGTTCTTGCTATATGGTATTTTTTTTTACTTTGAGTTCCAGAATACAAGTGCAGAACATGCAGGTTTGTTACATAGGTATACATGTGCCAGAGTGGTTTGCTGCATCTATCAACACATCATCTAGGTTTTAAGCCCCACATGCATTAGCTATTTGTCCTAATGCTCTCTCCCCCCTCGCCCCTCACCCCCCGACTGGCCCCAGTATGTGCTGTTCCCCTCCCTGTGTCCATGTGTTCTCATTGTTCAATTCCCACTTATGAGTAAGGACATGCGGTGTTTGGTTGTTATGCGGTATTTTTGAGGAGGAAATGGTAATATATTTTTCAAAATGGACTCTAAAAGTGGGGTTATATACTCTCAAGCTGAAGATTTAAATCACACATGAAGTCATTAATTTTTGAAAATGTTTTTCATCCATTTTCTTGGCAGTCAGAGAAAACCGACTGCAGAAGCAGCCACTGGGAACCATCGCCTGGCCTATGCAGCTATGTAGTAATATTTTGTAAGCTATGTTTCTTTATAATTTGTCCCAGAATAGACCTGTTTTGCCTGAGATTGGGCAAACCAACTGAAAGGATTCAAATTCTCTCAAATCCCAGATAGTATATGTTAATTTGTGGTTGCACGAGGTGTGCAGTCTGGGAAAATTTGACTTAATTGGAAACAGGAAGGAAACCTAGCTGGGGACTGGAAAGGAATTTTCCATCATTGGGCATCTATTCTGTGTCCAACATTGTGCTGGGGGGACATTCAAGCACGTTATTTAATTTAATTCTGATATAAACCTTGATTAAATGAGACAAACATCGTTACAGGAAATTTTTTAGGATCAAAGAAGTTAAATGACATGCAAGATCACTGTTGCACATTGGGTTTCTCGGAAGCAGACTTTGAAATGGAGATCTGTGTTCAGAAAATGTGTTAAGGAATATTCTCAGGATCAGCATCTGGAGGGGAAGCACAAGAGGCAGGAGACAGGCAGAGGGAGAGCTGGGCTTCAGTGTGGTTCCAATAAGGCCTCAGCTTATCTGACAGAGAGCCCTAGAGTTGTCATGACCTTTAAGAGAGGTTCTGAGTTGGGATGAGGGGACTGGAACTTTACACTGTCATGTCAGTCAGATGGATGAAGTCTGAAGCAATTGTAGCAGCTGGGGGGAAGCAAGTTCCTTAGTCCTGAACAGAGATCGGAGCAACATATCAGAGTCTGCTATAGTCAACCAGCCTGGAAGTAACAAAGCTAGCATATGAATACAGCTTTGGCATCAAAGCTCATGCACTTTTCCACTCACTTGACTCACTAGGCAATCAGCCAGTTGAGTACCCATACATTTTACCATTTTAGAAAAGGGTAAATAATTAATAATAATAATAATTTGTATCCTGGTTTTAGAAATATGGTCTTGGTGTCTTGACATCCTGAAAATTCTCCAAATTTTATATAGATAATTCAACCTTGGATCTATTATTCTCTTTTATGATAAACACCTTTTATAAAATTATTCACAAAAATGTCCTTACTTCTTAAACTAGGTTCAACTAAAACAATAACTATGCTGAAGACTTAAAACATACTCAATTTAAGCTGATTCATTATATAACTTCCAAACGTTGCATCTTAGAAATCAGGAATAATTTAACAGCATAACTTGTGCCAGATGTGTGACATTCATTTTTAAATATTTTTGATTCACCTAAGGCCTGATAGCTAAGGATAGATAATGGTTTAGAACTCCCAGGAGAAAAAAATGCACAGGAACTCAGAGAGCCTTAGTGAAATGCATGTGCTCCTCATCCTGATATGGAAATCTGAAAAGTGTAGCTAAAATCTATCAGCCATGTTCTTCAACTTGAACGTTGTCATGATTGAGCCAATGTAAAACCCACGGCAGATAAAGCATTCATCCATTCAACAAACATGTAACAGAGGACCTATGGTATGCAAGGATCAGTGTTTAGCACTCTAAGCATCCTAACCGTGACTTCACTCTTCCAAGAAATTTGGTCTGCTTTCCAGCTGCATCATAACAGCATCTTCTTCCTGCCTTGTTTTAAAGCAATCATTCTACGTAACAAGTGAAGCCAAATATCCTCGTCAACTGTCTTCACAAGCAAACTTTCCTCAGCTTATGATGGGGTTACAGCCTGATAAATCCTTCATAAGTTGAAAATATCATAAGTTGAAAATATATTAAATATGCCTAACCTGCTGAACATGATAGCTTAGCCTAGTCTACGTTAAATGTTATCAGAACACTCCCATTAGCTTACAGTTGGGCAACATCATCTAACGCAAAGCCTATTTCATGATAAAGTGTTGAATATGTCGTGTAATTTATTGAATACTGTACTGAGAGTGAAAAACAGAATGCTTGTATAGGCACATGAAATACAGTTTCTACTGAATGCATATTGCTTTCAGCACCATGGTAAAGTAAAAAAATCATAAATCAAGGGCCCTCTGTATATGTAAAATTATTATAGATTTGGATGGTATAAAATTTTGCAATTTGTGTTTAGGAAAATCAAAAGTACTGGAATTTTTGTTCTTTCTCCCTTTCAAGCAAGTATGAGGAAAAAAAGCAAGTAATGTATTCCGAAGTGTACACTGAAAAAGACTGAGATTATTTAAGGACATCTGAAAAGATTTTTCACTTACATATGGCATTATATTATAATTTAGGTCTGCCCTCTACCACATTATTGCTGCCCCAGGCACTGAATTATTTTCTTTCCTGTAGTGCAGTGGTTCTTATAGTGTGGTTCCCAGACCAGCAGGTATCAATGTCACCTGGAAACTTATTAGAAATGTAAATTATTGGATCCCTCCCCAGATCTACTAAATCAGAAATTTTGGGGGTGGGGCTTAGCAGTATGTGTGTTAATAAGTCGTGCATAATTTTCATGCATGCTGAGGTTTCAGAACCATGGTTTTAAGGTTATATATTAAATCATGTTTTTCAATTTCCATTCAATAAATGTTTATTTGGGGTCATGTAATAAGTGCTACACATTATTCAACCTTTGCCAATGGCACTCCTGCATCATATGTAGTTTTAAAAATATATTTATGTCAATTTTTAGCATGATATTACATATCATGTATGCTGGGCACAATCGTGTTTTCGCAGGCTCACCAGGTGATTCTGATGCACTCTCAAGCTTCAGAAGTACGCTGTAACTCATTATCCATTAGTCCTGGCCAAAACAGAAACCCAGTATAAGCTACAGCAAGAAGTAGGAATGTTGTACTCATCTTTAAAGACAAGAGGCAAACAAAGATCTAAGAATTCTTGGCAGCACAGAGCATCTTGTTGCATTTCCAGGCAATGAAGTCTATCAGCCAAAGTAAGGGATTCTGCATAAGAACACAGGGGTTTGAGTCTTGGTTCTTTGACCTCCTGGCTGTAACTTCTTAGGAGGTCGTTTAATCTTCATCATAATTTGTTTCCTCATCTATGAAAAAAGGGTTTTGCCCTGGAGATCTCTATGGCGACTTTCAGCTCTAAGTTCTGTGATTCCACGCATCTCAATCAATATGTATATTTTATTATCATTTTGGAGATGAGCATATTGCCATTTGTTTCCACTTCATGCTACTACTTAAAAGCATATCAAAAACCTCTTATAACTAAATAAGAGAAAGGTCAATTGAAAAGTGAGTAAAGGGTCTGAATAGACATTTATCCAAAGAAGATAATATACAAATGGAATATAAGCACATGAAAAGATCCTCAACAGACAGAGAGAGAAGAAGGATGGTTACCAGAGGCTGGGAAGGGTAGTGGGGGCTAGAGGAGAGGTAGCGATGATTAATAGGTACAAAAAATAGTTAGAAAGAATGAATAAGATCTACTATTTTATAAGCACAATAAAGTGACTATGGTCAGTAATAACAATTGTATATTTTTAAAATAATGAATGTAACTGGATTGTTTGTAACTCAAAGGGTAAATGCTTGAGGGGATGGATACGCCATTCTCCATGATGTGCTTATTTCACACTGTATGCCTGTGTCAAATCATCTCATGTACCCCATAAATATCTACACCCACTATGTACCCACAAAAAGTTTTAAAAATTAAAAAAAATTTTAAAGATGCTCAACATTATTACCATCAGATAAATGCCATTCAAAACCACAGTAAGATACCACTTCATAGCCCTTAGAATGACTAAAATAAAAAAGACTGACAATAACACGTGTTGTGGAGGATGTGAAGAACTCAGAATTCCAATACATAGCTGGTGGGATTGTAAAATTATGCAGCTGCTTAGAAAACAGTTTAGCAGTTCCTCAGTTAAACATAGACGTTCTACAAGACCGAACAGTTCAACTTCTAGATGTATACCCAAGAGAATTGAAAACATAAGTTT